TAAAGAGAGTATTTTTGATTGACCTATTGGAAAGAGGAATTGCTTTTTTTTTTGTTAGTTGGGCATGGGGGGTGGGGGTTGATCAAGAGAGGAAAATGGGGGATTGCTGTGAGACTTTGGGAGGGGGATGGGGTTAGTTGTAGAATGGAATTTGGGTCTAGTACCCCGAGAGTTAGGGGTGAGGGGTTCGGGGTTTGCCCTTTTCCTTTTTTTTAGTTTGAATTTGCTGTGATTTGTCCGTGTTTATTTTAATAACAATTTGTTTAAAGATTCGATTTTTGAAACGACATGCATTAAGGCATTTTATGGTGCAGTTTTTCTTTTTGTCATTTTTATATTTCAAAACCTCTACAGTCTACCCCAGTTGACTTATTTTTTAGGTTCATGATTGTTAATGTTACGATCTTCCAATATTGTAATATAATTGTTTGCTGATCAGTATCATAAAAATTTCATGTTCAATAGTATGGAGTGATGGAAAAGGAGACAAGTGAAACAAGTACATCAGGGTGTGGTGAGAGACCTCTCCATTTTTCTCTTTTTGTGTAATTCAATTTCCGATAGTTATTTAAATTCGAATCTCTTCTAGGTTCTCTTATTCTTGAAATGGGAATATTATCACGATTAACTGGTGATACTAGATATGAAGCTGCTGCGCTTCGTGCACTCCGTAAGTTATGGAACATGAGGAGCTCTTTGAATCTCTTCGGCACTACTCTTGATGTGACAACTGGAGAGTGGATAGAGTATTCGTCTGGTATTGGAGCTGGTATATTCTCATGCTATACGGTTCAATGAACTTGTTTGTTGTGCAGTTTATTAATCAAAATATTGATCTTGTATGGTGCACATTTTTGACCAATGTATACATCCACTAAAAGTCGCACATATCTTTTCTCTTTGTCGATTTTTAGATCAGAATAAATGGGTTAAAACTCTGACGTGTTCGACATTCTGTAGGTGTTGATTCATTTTATGAGTATTTAATGAAAGCCTACATTCTTTTTGGAAACGACCAGTTCTGGAACATGTTTCATTCAGCATATGTTGCCGTGCAGAAGTACTTCCGGCATGGTCCATGGTACAACATTAAACATTTCTCTTCTGGTTTGGGTGGAAATTTATTTCTATATTTCTCGATACATCTCGTATATTGTCATTAAATTTTTTATTCTCTCTCCTTTAGCAATAAATTAAGAAAAAGGAAATTATGTTGAGCCTTATCTAGAACAATAACATATGAGATAGCAGTGTGGTCATTAGCTCACAAAACAAAATCTTTGAATGATACAGCTGTGGTTCGTTAACTGATTTGCATTCTTTTGTGTTAATGAAACAAAGCTGGTTTTATGTAATTTGGATTCTAAACCTACTATCAATAACTTCTTTCTACGGATGAGTGAGTTCTTTGAATCCCGCAATAATAAAAAATTTGGGAAAAATTGTGTTAATGCCACAAAATTGAAAGACCCATGTGACCCAGTTCTGATATTATTTTCTTCGTGTAAAAGCCCCAAATTCATAGATTTTTGTTGCTTCAATCCCTTGTACAAAGCCACCTTCGCAGTGAGAGAGTAAAACCTAAAAGAGTTCCAAAATACTCCTCATACTTTAACTCACCCCCTCTCTCTCCTCTCTCTCTTTGATGGAAACTCACAGCCATGTGTTCCTCTCTCTACCCTTTCCCAGCTTAACCATCTCCCTCTCGCTGTTGCTCAACTCTCCCCCTTCTCTCTCGCCCTCGCTCAACTCTCCCCTTCCTCCTGCCCTCTCGCTCTTGCTCAACTCTCCCCCTCCCAACTCAACTCTCTTCTCCCGTTCCTATCCTATGATGACATTGTCCACAATAATGACATGACCCTTGGCACTAGTGCCAGTGATGGTCTAGAATTTGGGGATTTAGTATTGACTTTATATAGAAAGTTGGAAGCTTGAAACCCTAATTTTTGGGGAAAATCATGAGAGGAATCATGATCTAAGGGGATTGTGAGGTTTGGGGGAAATTAAAAATTTCTAATTTAGATAGGGAGTGAGGTCCAATCAATGGAAGAGTTTGTATGAGGAAAGAGAGATGGTCTTCAAGCTCTGCTATTGTCTTCAATTTTTCCTCTTTTTTTTCTTTTTTTTTCTTCTTTTTTTTCTTTTTGTTTGGATATGAACAGATTCCGAGGATGGGAGAGAGAAAACAATGAGGCCTCATCAGGAGATGAGGGAGGAAGGAATTGTTTGCAATTAGAAATCATTTGTGACAGTGATTAGTTTGTGTAGGATGATTGAGAAATGTTCTCATTGCCTCACTGAAGGTCACAATCGAGCAACGTGCAACGAACCAAATCTCCTTACCATGTCATTAGAGTATTCACTGCCAACGTTCCAATTCACCACCATGGTCTTGATCCCAAGATGTATTAATCTGAAAAATGGTATTTATATTTGAGATGAGCTTGACGTGCATATTCAGTAATGTATATAACTGAAACCATGCACATAATAAAATATTGTCCAAACAAGGAGTTATATTAAATATGCAATATCTTTAGAAATCAATTTTATGGATAAAAATTGGGCAACGTCACACCCTATCTTGACAACTAGATTGCCCACTGTGGCGATCTGCCTAGAAAGACTGCCTATAGCGACGCTCCGCCTTTTACACTATATTCCACCTGACTGCCTAGCTTGACAATCTGTCTGGCTGAGACTGCCTACAGCGGCGATTTGTCCCTTATAACACCCTACTCTTTTGATAGGCCTATAACTTAATTTTTTGGTGTACACCATTAGCCAACGAACAATGCACTATATGCCTCAATGTGATTCAAATATTTGGCAAAACCTGCTTATCATATATAGCCTAGAAGGGCAAAATCATATATTCATCCATGATGAATTCAACAAGCATTAACTCATGCTTAAAACAATCATGAAGTTTCTTGAAGTATACTTGAATGTGAATTTTATGCTTGTGCATCAATTAAAATATTACATTTGTAAGCAGATGGTGAGAAAATCATAAATTAAAGAATATATGTAACCCCACTTATTGATATTATGCAAATTCCATGTCCTGCGATCCTTCAAGAGTCACCTATAACTCGTATTGAGCTTCCCTCGTACAAATACATATAAAATATCAAATTCCATTCAGTTTATAGGTTACACTTGTACAATAAGTAATACTGCCCTAATCCTTAAGTAGTCTAAGGTAATTTAACTTATGTAATATGAAATGGAGTTAGAACCTCTAGGGTTATACTTGTTCTACATCCAATCCTTTGTTTCTTACCTCGAATGTCTCTGTGTTTCAATTCATTGTCATTTCCTTTTTATAGTTATGCGAACCTGAACTTATCCCTGTAAAAGAATCTTTCAAAAATGTCTTAGCACAATCTTCAACATTTTACATACTTTATAGTAGTGTTTGAAGCTTTAAAACTGGTTTATTGTCATAGGAGTATTTCTGAAATTTCAGAAACTGCATGGTCATTTATGTAATTTCTGAAAATTGCAGGGGTATTTGTGTAATTTCTGAAAACTGCTGCTGATCTTAACATATCCTGTAAGAGATGAATTCTTGCACCATTATGCATCGGTTTCATAGAGTATTTGTAATGGTTGGACTAAAAGCCAATAGTCTATGAATTGAAGGCTCTTGAGACAATTTTTATGCTTTCCCATGACTGTGGCTCTTGCTGTAGTACAATGCGTGTCCTGAACATTTACCCAAACCATACTCTATATATAAAATCAAGCTGAAACCTGAACTGAAATTGGGTTTGGTGTCACTAAAATTGAAATTAGCAAACTAATATCTACAAAAGGCCTTGCTGATGCGAGGGATCACACAAAAGCTTGAAGTAAAATCTCAATATTCTTACCACGGATCATATGTTAGCTACTGGAACTAGCATAGGCAGGATATTTGCTTAATTTAGATGGATAACTAAGGTCAAAGCTTATGCCTATAATTTAGGTGGAGTAGATGTCAAACTCTGGATTAATTTCAAAAGGATACATGTTTCTACATAAATTGAATGAATCAAGCTTAGCTGTAGAATTACATGTACTCCTTTCCTTATCCTTTCTATAGCATTTTCCTTCTTTTTCTCTTTTTCTCTTCTTGTTGAATCAGGAGCAGGAATTTCTCCTTTGTTTGTTTGTTTGTTTTCCCTCCTTTTTCTAGCTAGAGCTCCTTCTCCTTCTTTCTCTCTTTGTTTCTTGCTATAGGTTCTGTTAGAGGGAACAACATGAGGAAGCAATGGGTTCACATACCCTCTCCACCTCAAGCTTTTAGCCAAAGGACATGTGCCACTCCTACATCTAACTCATGCCACCTCGTTCTTACTCAATTGACGTGTGTCTCTCCCATATTTTCCAACATGGCAGCTCCACAAGTAATTATATATCCAACAATTATCCACTACTTCTGCATAAAAGTCCCTCCAATCTTCTATATTTGCATATCCTTGATTTTATGTCAATAATATTTAATTCAGCATCTTAGTTCATAATGAATTAATCAATACCAACAATAAAATTATAGATATTGAATTTCTTCCCCCCTTAAAATGAGTTTTGTCCTCAAAACTTGGCATTTCTCAATCTGAAACATGTATAGATATTTCTTCATCACTTTTTTTCTCATGTTTCCATCTACCATTTTGTTCGAACCCTTTTTGTCACAATTCTTTAAAAAATTCTTCTTGACCTTGATGTCTGCTCTCTCTCATGTCCACAAACTGAATCAAGAATTAGATACATCTAACTCATCTTTAATTTAGTGTAGCGTGCGATCCTTCACATAGTCTCGATTTGTAGCATATTTCCTTAATACTGAAATATGAAACACATGTACATTTGCCAATTCTAGGGTAATGTCATGTAGGCAACTTTGCCAACTCAATCCATTATTCCAAAAGGGCCCACAAATCCTTGACTCAACTTCTTTCCAGATCCCAATTCTCCATATGTTGGAGATACCTTTAAAATATATGAGCTCCTATTTGAAATACCATGTCTTTATCTAGTGTCAACATGAACTCTTTTGTCTACTTTGGACTGTCCTAAGTCATTCTCTACTCAACTTTGCCTTTTCGATGGTGACCTGTTCAAATTCAAGCCCAAATAACTTTTTATTTGAACACAAGTAAATCTACAATGTCTACTATTGAAAGCTTCGCATGCTAGTGTGCAATCCTAGCATGGTAACTTATTATGTAAGAGTTCCACTAGAGATGAGCGACCTTTCCAGCAAATATTCAAATTAAAACACATGCTTCAAGTATGTATTCTAAGATTAGATAGTTCTTTATTAGTTCTTCTACCTAAGTATGAAACTCCAAACTAAATTTCGATTTGTTGCCCATGTGTAAGCAATATTTATTTCACATGGATTTATCTAGGAATTCTATGTGTTCTAACTACCTAATCCACATATGACCTAAAACTTATTGGGAGTATGAGTGATTTTGATATCTGAAAGTCTCTAAAATTGAATGTTTCTCCTGACTGACCTAGGCAATCAAACTACAATTTCTATCACAATATTATCTCATTTCCATTCTAAATAGGAAGAGATTAAAATAAGCCATCATACTTTGGAGGCTCAATATTAATCTTGTGGAAAATAAGACATCAGGCTACCTATCATACTATCTCCTCGTATGTCCTTTTCCATTTTAGTCTAGCCAGAATGATTGTTATAACGAAAAAGATGAGTCTGTTCCATGATCTCCATCTTCATATCCGATACATTGGGTACACAAAGTTGGTTTCCACACCTAAAAATAATCATCTTGAATATCAATTTAATGCCTCGATACTTCTTGCGTCGGTGATCTAATCTTTTTCAATTCTGGGTCAACCCTTTGTAATGTCTTAATCTTTTCAAAGTAGGTTGATTTTACAACAAGTTGTGCTGCAACTCCTTCAGAATTATGAACCTGCACCTCAATATCTCATCAATTCAATTGTTCTTGCAACTCCTTCTACTTAGTAATGAAATAGGCTAGATTAATAAAAGATTTTGACTCAAAGCATCAACAACCGCATTTTTTTTCTAAGATGGTAACTGATTTTCAAATCATAATGTTTCAGCAGCTTTAATCAAATTGTCTGCCTCATATTCATTTCCTTATGAGTCAATATATATTTTAAACTATTATGATTTGTACAAATCTCGCAGGTCTTGCTATATAAATAATGTCTCTGTTTTTAATGCAAAGATCAATACAGCTAACTCTGAATGAAGTCTACTAGAGGGCTCCTTTCTCCAATTCAACATTGCATCCATTATCCACTTTGTCGAATACTAAGCAAAATCCAGCAAATATTGACAATATAGTCAAATTATCAATCAACATAAGAAGCTAATCATACCCAAAACAGATAACCAACATATAATCCGTAACTCCAGAATCCATTCTCTTCAAATTGTAATTACCTAAATGCTAAACCTCAAGTTCTGATACCTCATTTATTGGCATGCTCCGAAACAACACAAGTATTAATGAAAATGATAATAAAATCAAGGTACATGACAGTCAGCCACAAATCCTCCTAATGAGAGGGCTTGCGAAGCCCAACTCCAGTGTACTTAACATATATTTTCACATATGTACATGATCCATGAAGAAAGGCTTTATATTCCAAAAATCCAAAGTTACATTACATATCAAACCAAGTATTTATTTACCATGTCATCAGAGTATTCGCTGCTAACGATCCAATTCACCTGCATGGCCTTGATCCCGAACCGTATTAATCTAAAAAATGGTATTTTAATTTGGGGTGAGCTTTCCACGCGCTCAGTAAGTGACATACATATTCAGTAATTTATATAACTGAAACCATGCACATAATAGAATACTGTCCAAACAAAGAGTTTATATTAAATATGCAATATCTTTAGAAATCAATTTTATGGATAGAAATTAAGCAACGTCACACCCTATCTTGCTAACTAGAGTGCTACATGAGCGATCTGCTTAGAAAGGCTGTTTACTGCGGTGCTCTACCTTTTACGCTATATTCCACTAGACTGCTTACTGTGGTAATTTGTCTGGCACAGACCGCTTATAACGGCGATCTGTCCGTTATAGGCCAACTCTCTCGATAGGCCTATGACTTAATTTCTTTGGTGTACACCATTAGCTAACGAACAATGCACTATATGCCTCAAGATGATTGAAATATCATTTGGCAAAACCCGCTTATCATGTGCAGCCTATAGGGGAAAAATCGTATATTCATCCATGATGAATTCAACAAGCATTAACTCATGCTTAAAATAATCATGAAGTTTCTTGAAATATACTCGCAAATCATGCTTAAAACAATTTGGGTTTGAAGAGAATGAGTTTGGAGAGAATTTGGGTTTGAAGAAAATGGGTTTGGAGAGGATGGGTTTGTAGAGAATAAGAGAGAAAATTGGAGGAGAAAGAGGTGATTTGGGAGAGAATCAATGGAATGGGGTTAGCGTTATTGAGGGAGAGAGATTGGGAGATGGTTGATGCAATTCGGGTTTGGAAAGGGAGAGAAATCGAGAGAGAGATAGATGAGGTTATGTCCTAATTTTTGGGCACAACTAGGGCTTTTATAGTCCCGACAAATGTACGGGGCTCGTAGTCCCATGTATTTGCTGGACAGTTCCAGCAAAGTCATTGTTTAATCTACGGGACTACTAGTCCCGTAGGTTTTATAATAGCAAAACAGAAAACCTACGGGACTAGTAGTCCCGTGGGTTTTTTGTGTTTAGTTTAGTGGCCGATTAGCAGCCACTAAACACACGGGACCAGTAGTCCCGTGTGTTTCAAAACTCAAATTCAGCGAAACCGATCTCTTTTTGGCTAGCTTTGGTGTGCTGGCCAAAAAGAGGTCAGTTTTGCTAATTATTTAGCAAAATTATCGGTTTTGCTAAATATTTATCAAAACTGGCCTAATTCAAAAATTTCTCCTCTAGATTAATATCAAAAGAATACATGTCTAGACATAAATAGAAAGAAGCAAGCTAACCTGTCTCCTTTTCCTTACCATTTCTTTAGCATTTTCCTTATTTTTCTCTTCTTCTCTTCTTGTTGAATCAGGAGCATGATCTCTCCTTTGTTTGTTTGTTTGCCCCCACCCCCCCTCTTTTTATCTAGCTAGAGCTCCTCCTCCTTTTACTCTTTGTTCTTGCTATTGGTTCAGTTACAGGGAACAACATGAGGAAGCAATGGGTTTACATGCCCTTTCCACCTCATCCTTTAGCCAAAGGGCATGTGTCACTCCTACCTCTAACTAATGCCACCTCATTCTTACTCAATTGACATGTGCCTCTCCTATATTTTCCAACATGGCGGCTCCATAGTTGATTATTTATCCAACAATTATCCACCACTTCTATATAAAATTCCCTTCAATCTTTTGTATTTGCAAATTCTTGATTTTATTTCAATACTATGATTTTTATTGCAAGATAATATTTAATTCAATATCTTTGTTTATAATGAATTAATAAGTACCAACAATAAAATTATAGATATTGCAAAAAAAAAGTTATTGTTCCTTGAGTTCAAGTTCTAACCCATGAAAAAGGTGCTCAACCTAGGGAGCATACTAGAATATAAAGAGTATAACCCTCAACGCTCGCCATTATTTCAAAGTTTGATGTAGTGGAAGTGTCCGGTAATAGCTTACACTTAAGAGGCTTTTACTACAAAGAAGCCTTAACACATAATTTTGAAATTATCAAAATATTAAAACTAATATTAAATTATTAATTGCGAAAAATCTTATGAAAGAGATATTTGTAACGGTTTATCTACAGTGATAGAGAAATATATCAACGCGTCTACAAGAAAAATATGTTAAATATGTCGCTGATATAAGTCCTAAGAAGATTAATTTTAAAGACAAGTTAAGATTCAATTATTCTATCATTAAATAGGATAAATATTCATGTATTACAATAAATAGACATAAGTTTTAATGAACTTATTAAGATTCAAAATTTTGGAGACAATGAATTCATCATTAAAGTTTGAAAACAATAATTAACATCAAACAAGAAATAAGTACTGGACATAATATCAATCATATCTCATTTTTAAATAAAAAAGGTCGAAAGAGTTGGTCCAAAACTATTATCTTTAAAGAAAGTCTTCTCAAACTTGATTGAGTTGTTGTTGTTATGAGAGTATTTCCAATGGGCGTAATTGTGCACTACCTTTGACGCAGAGGAAGGAAAATGGGGGAATACTCTTTATTATTTAAAATGTAAGTTCGTCTTAAGTGAATTGGGTTGCTTGGAATAATGCGCATGCATCCATTTAACTAGAGTTGTATCCCGCTTTTGCCTAGTAAAAAATTGGTTGAAGTGAGTTCAAGTTCTGAAGCGAATTAGCGGTCCCGGAATCTTACAGCGCCTTCAGGCTTCTCTTCTTGGTACGTCTTCGGAAAAGAAGCGTATTTATGCTTCTTTTCTGAAGCGCTTCGAGGAGCTTTTAAGCTAGGGTTCAAATGGCAAGAAGTTGACGTGTTTGTCGTGCTTGATGTATCTCTTTGATTTTATATGAAACTTTCCTAATGTGGAGTATAAAGGTTGTTTAATAGAATTTATAGGGGTTAGAAGGAAGGTATTGCAGAAAAATACAGTATCATATCTTCATGGGATAGTTTTTTTGTATCTGTTTGGGCCATTATCTAAGTTGATGATTTTCCAATCCATGCACAATGTATGCCGGAAAGATTTTAGTAGAATTGCCTTAATTGATCTGCTACGATGGTTGTTCCTCAGGCCTAGAATCTATCCTACAATTCTTAATTCACATTTACAATTGGTTTTTTTTCTGATTGTTGTGCTTTGGTAAGATACTCTAAGGCCACTTTTACATCGCAGAGCAAGTCACTACAATTTAATTCTTTTAAGTAAAAAAAGATCCTGTTTCAAAATCTGCTTATATATTGATAATCAGCTGAAGTTCGAAAGTTAGTATTGTGGAAACAGTATCATGTGCTATGAGAAATCTTCCATATATTTTCATTGCTTTATTGAATGTGATTTTCTCCTAATGTCAGGTACCATGAAGCTGATATGAGGACAGGAAAAGCTACCTATTGGCAGTTAACTAGCCTTCAGGCTTTCTGGCCTGGACTTCAGGTTATTAATTGACAACTTATCATTCTACTGATGATAAGAGAAACTAAATTTGCTTTGGTTAGTCCTTGATTTATTGCTAACAGATTCTTGTAGGAGATGTTGCCTCTGCCAATTTATCGCATCGAGAATTTTTCCATGTATGGGAGAGGTTTGGTGTGATACCTGAAAGGTATGTTTGATTTCCAACTTCTTCCATCTGGAGTTGTAAAATGAAGGTTTCTGCCTTCTAACTGAAGTCAAAACTTTGAATAGAAAATTATACCCAGCTATTTTATTTTTAAAGAGAAATATGTGAAACATTCATGTCTGTAAAGCAAAACATCTTAGCCTACTTTGTCTTGTGCAGAGCTGTAGGGAGAATGTTTTCGTATATTGGAACTTAACTTAGTAGTCATGCAGTTAGTCACTCTTCAGGTTGTATTCGGAAACCAATAATTAAGTAGGAAAAGAAACTACATCTATCTGCTTATGTGTTGACATTAACATAAGGTGTTGTCTGTTTAGCATAAAAAAGTTTCGAATAAAATGAGTTTATTTTCTTAATCTAATCCATTCCATTTAATTACTAGACATGATGTGACATGCTCGTTCCCAAAATTGTATAAGTTTGGAACATGACTCGGCCGACGATGCAACCCTTCGGTCACATTCATGTCTCTAATTCATCCTGTACATAGATATATAACCAAAAACTCCACAACAGAGCATGTAACTATGATAGCAAAAGAAATGTATAGTCATAAGTTAAGTAAAGAGATCTCCAGAAAGACAGAGTTCAACTATATCTATCCATAATGGAAGAAAAGAAGAAATATATCATAGTCTGGAAAGGCCACATGTGGCTTAAAGAAAAGTCTGAAATAAATAAGCTACCTAAACAACTAAAGTTGAAGAAGCGAAGAAGATAGGATGGTGATCACTGCTGCTAGGCCTGCTCCTCAAAATACTATTGATCCTTTAAAGCAAGAACAATCCCCGATTCTGCGATGCGCAAACCCTAGGGGAGTCAGAAACTTCCCAACAAACATGCAAAATAAAAAAACTGTGCATGTGTGTATGTGATAGACATAATAGAAAAGATGAAAACTAACTTAAAGGTGACCAAATTATATACACACACACTATAGATATCAATTAAAACACTACCGCATATCATGCAAGCATTTTATGTTTTATGATATGTTATTTGTATTAGAGGAGAATATTTTCATGTTGTTATGAAATACTCAGTTGATCATTATTCATTAGAAGAGGGTGATACAACCGGTAGTAACTCAAAGCAGGTTCATACCCACATATCCAATAGCTAAATACTCCTAAATCTAATACTCCTCCTCAAGCTTGAGCATAGATATCGATCATACCTAGCTTGCTACACAAAATAGAGAAGAGCTTAGAAGATGCAGCCTTTGTGAGAATATCGGTCAACTGTTCTGAAGAGGGAATATACAGAGTGTAGATCACCCCTTTCATTACAGTATCCCTAATCATATGACAATTGCTATATTCTGTCTTTTCATAAAAGACGGGGGTTCTTTACAATATAGATGGTAGATTGATTATCACAATACATGAGCATTGGACCTGGCTGAACCGAGCTCTGTCATCAAGTTCTTCAACCATATAATAACACAAGTAGTATGCGCCATCGCTCTGTACTTGGCCTTCGCACTAGACCGAGATAACACTTTTCGCTTCTTACTTCTCCAGGTTACTAAATTGCCACCAATAAAAATACAGTATCCAGTGGTAGACTTCCTAGCCCCCCATCTTCGGCCTAGCTCGAGTATGAATAAGCAGATATTTGCAAATGTCCATGCTTCTTGTACAATACGCCTTTTCTAGGAGAACTTTTAATATAGGCAAAAATCCTCTTAGTTGCTCTCCAATGAACCTATTTTGGCATGTGCATGAATTGACTCAAAAGTCCAATAGCAAAAGAAATATTAGGACTAGTGAGCGTAAGATACATCAACTTGCCAATTAACCTCCTATATTGCCTGCTGTCTTGGAAAATGTCATTTTTCTCATCCCAAAAGTTCATATCTGCTTCTATCAGCGTGCTGACGGGTTTGAAACCCAAAAGACCAGTCTCTTGTAGAAGATCTAAGAAGACTTCCTTTGGGAGAGAAGTAAACCATGTTTCTGATAAGCAACTTTAATCCTAAAGTATTTCGGTTTTCTCATATCTTCGGTCACAAAATGATGCTTGAGATACTCTTTGGTTTCTGCCAAACCCTGTCAGCAAAATATCATTAACATACATAGCCAAGATCACTATCCCCAATGTAGTGCAGCAACCAAACACAAAATGATCTGAATGACGTCGATGAAAACCAAACACTAGATATTATTTACCTGAACTTATTTTACCAAGCACGTGGACTTTGTTTGAGTCCATAGATTGCCTTCTTATGTTTGCATACATGAGTCTCCCCCTGAGCAACATACCCAAGATGTTGCTCCATGTAAATTTTTTCCTCAAGGTCACTATATAAGAAGGCATTCTTCACATCGAGCTGAAACATAGGCCACTCTAGATTAACAACAATGGAGAATAATGTACGAATTGAGTTGAGATAAGCAACAAGAGAGAGTCTTGAAGTAATCAACCTCATATGTCTGAGTAAAGCCTTTAGCAATCAGCCTGGCTTTGTATTTGTCCACAGAACCATCGGGCTTATACTTCACAGTGAAAACCCAACAACAACCCGCAATATTAGCCCATATGAAGCAGGAACTACATCCTAAGTCCCTCGAGAAACAAGTGCATCCATCTCCTCATTCATAACCTGCTTCCAGTTAGAAACTAACACAGCTTTCTGATAAGATCTGGGTATAGATACCAAAGATAAATATTGAGCAAACTGGTGAAACAATGTGGTAAGACTATCATAAGAAATAAAATGAGATATATGATGAGTTATGGTAGATTGTTTACCTTTTCGAAGAGCAATACGAACATCAAGGTCAGAGAGAACAAAGGATTGCTGACAGATAGACCATCGGCTGCAGACGGATGATCAGCTGAGGAGAGGGACGTGTAAATACTTTGTCTTCTAGTATACACCAAAGTTGGTTTGAGGCAAGTCTTTCGTCAACTTTAGAACTCAACACGGACTGAGTGAGGACATCATAAGGAGAGGGTATCAGTTGAGGTAGAAGAATACAGTAAGGTGGTGATCTTGTACACACAGATGAAAAATATGGAATAGACTCAAAAAAACGTAGCATGTGCAAAGATACTTCCTACATAGTGGATCATATCATCAATATCCTTTTGTGTTCTAGAGTATCCTAAAAAAACACACTTAAGAGATTGAGGAGACAGTTTATCCAAACCATGACGCATATTTTGAAGCATGTACAACCAAAAACATGAGGAGTCATAACAAACATGATTTTGTTAGGAAAAAGAGAGAAGGGAATTTGTCCATGAAGAACTGATGATGGCATTTGATTAATCAAATAACATGCACACAAGACAACATTAGACCATAAATACTTTAGGACATGCATATGGATCATCGAAGTTCGAGTCACACCTAGAATATGTCTATGCTTTCATTCAACCACGCCATTTTGCTGTGAAGTGTGTGGACAAGAGGTTTAATGAATAATCCCATTAGTGGCATAGAATTGAGAAACTTCATTTTTCAATATATTCTAAAGCATTATTAGTATGAAGCACACGGATGGAAGTAGAAAACTAGTTTTTAATTTCATTATGGAATAGCTCAATTACACTAGCAACTTCAGATCTATCTTTTAATAGATAAAGCCAAGTCATATGAGAGAAGTCATCCATAAAGACAACAAAATACCTAAATCCTTTCAAAGAGGGAAACCGACATGGACCCCAAACATAATGAACTAGCTCAAAAGCATAACTACTTTGTTTATTGACTCTATAAGGGTAGGAAGCACGATGATTCTTTCCTAACTGATATGATTCACTCTAATGACAAAATAGAGGACTCAATAGGTAATACAAAACGAAGCTTTTGTAAAGAGGGATGTCCTAAACATTAGTGTCACTCAAGGCTATCGATAACTGATAGCGTCGCGTAGCGGTGAGACATCACTAAGACTATTTGGAGCAATTACGGTAAAAAATGTAAAATTAAATAGCGGTCTAATTTAAATGTGTAATACTAAAAAAGATTAAAGAAAAATCTAAAAAATTTAAAAGTGCATATTTGATGATTTGAAGAGATCCTAAACATAAAATAGACATGTAATCATCACATAATACCAAAGACGACTGGAGAAGAAGTCAAAGAGTCGTCTTCGAGAAGATGAGCTGAGTGGTAAGATGACTGCCTTAGGAGGAGCTCACGGTGAATGAGGTGCCAGAGGCTATGAGAGGTGACGGGAGCACGCTGAAAATCGCGAGAGGCGGTGGAATGCAGTAGTTAAAGGTCAGGTTTAATTTTAAAAAAATAAATCCCAAACCGCTTTTAAATAGTAGTCAAAAAGCGGATTTTGCACATAATCACCCGCTATTTACCGTTAGGGCGCGCTATTGTCTGTTTTTGCGAACGGAAAATACGTATTCTGTAATATGTCACCGCTATTGGGCGATAGCGTAACGGGAAGGGATCACTAACGCTATTAGCGTTATTGCGGGGCTATTTACCGCTATTTATAACAGTAGTGCCACTATAGAGTAGTATCAGAAAAACTTGCAGTAGAACCAAACCGTGGCACACTATCATTCAACTAGTACATGCCTCCTTTCTCATAACTCGAACCAAACCAATCCTTGTACTAGTCTGAAGGTCTTTAAAAATAGAATAGGGAGGGAAAAGTCACCGTGCGGTTATTATTTTTTGTAATCTAGCTAATAGATAATAAACTGATAGGAAATTTTGGAGCATAAAGAACTTTTCTAAGAGTCAATAATGAAGTGGCGTGAACTACCCCATCACCAAGTACATGTGAACAAGTCCCATCAGTAATATGAGCAGAAGAAAATTTATTTGAAAATTGTAGGGAAGCAAATTTTAACTTGTATACCTACCATGTGGGAAGAGGCCCCTGAATCTAACACTCAAGGTCTATCAGAGGAAGCAATGAAAGCATCTATACCTGAAGAGGATGCATGTGTAGCTGTATGACTCGTCTGGGAGGACTTTAATTGAAGTAGACGGGCAAAATAAACTTGAG